TTTGAGTGGTCATCAGGTAATGTGGCTTTGGTGCTATGTGGTATTGGTATTCGTGGTACTGGTGGCATCGGTGGTGGGTTGCACGCCCCAATAAGAAACTAATTGCCGCCACCACCTGTGGGCGCAAAATGATCCCAAAATGAGGGACGACTGCGTTTCAGTCACCACCTCGTTTACCCCATGCACGTTTTTATTCTTCGGTTTCCCCTTCTCGGTGTTTTCCTCATATTTTTGGCCCCCAACTTTTGCCCGACCCTGTCATACCAGCCGCGGACAACGGATCCGCAGAGCCTGCATCGTCCAGGACTGGTTTAACTGGATAGAATAGCAGGACGAGGCCTGTGCTCCTCGTGTACTTTCCTCTCCTCCAGTCGTCTTGTTTTCTCACTTTGCCCATGCACCATCTCTGTCTTGTCGTTCGGTGCCGACCACTGTCTCGGGTTCACCCACTCTGTCGGGATCTGGGCCCATTTTGTTCAGGCTCCTTTGCGACTTTGCAACGTTGAGTTGTTCGGACCCTACTCGCATCTTGTACAGCCTTTTTGTGTCAAAGTTTATTCAAAAAGGAAAACAAAACGAACCTCTGGCTTGGGAATATTGCCGGTCAATGTTTATTTCTTCCAGACTCTGTCTCGATAATAGTCTTGACGGCCGATGTTGTGCCCCGTATTTTGTCCAACAACAACTCCAGTTTGTTGGCAACAACGACCCAGCAGTCTGGGGCCTCTATTCCAGACGGGTCCATTGCGATGCTTCCTTTTGTCGAGTCTCTTTGTCGCTTTTTGCTCCATTTTTAGCATATTTGTCACCGCTTTTTCCTTCTTCCGTCTGTCTGTGTTTCTTTTCCTTTTTCTTGCCAACCTTCCAGAACTGCCCTGAGACTCAACGTCTTACCAAGCACTGTTTCTGACTCGTCCTTTCTTCGGCCGTTTGCCTCCGTCGATGCAAGCCACAGGAAAACATTCCCATGCAAAATGAAATGCACAACCTGCTGTGGATCATATTTGCGTTGGCCCCTCCATCCTCCTCCACCTTTGCTAACCGCGGCCCCCTCTTCTGTCACTCACTTCCTCATTCGGGCCGCCGTCCTTTTGTCTCTGAAGTGCGTCTCTTCGCTCCCTGGTTCCTTCATTTTCCAGTGCCGCCTCTACCTGTCCCGTGCTGTGGGCCAAGTCCTTGAGGAACAAGGAGTTGAAAAGGAATTATGAAAAGGCAAAGGCAGAGACAGGACCTCCGTTCTCGTACAATGTACTCTGTAAATTGAGCAAGAGACAGTGAAGAATTGCAAATTGCTCGCTTTGTTTTGTGGCTCTTTGGTTTTGGATCATCGTCATTTCCATACATGTTTCTCTTGTACGACCGCATCTATTCCCAACTCAGGCCCTGCCTTCTCTTGCATGACAAGTTGGGTACACAAGTCGGACCGCCACAGACACGACACGCGAGAAACAGAACGATGCAAAAATGAGGCTGTTGTGGACGCCTCGTGGACCCAATCTGTCGGGACAGCACATCAAACATGGCCCTAGTTCTCGGTATGGATCCGCTCTTGGTTGTTTCCATCACCCTTTTCCTCTTTCCTTGCTCTCCTTTAATTTCTTTGTTTTTATTTTCTTCGAGTCCTTTCTTCTCTCCCCTGTAGCTTGCTTCTCTTCACCGGTCCTCGTCTCCACTCGGTCTGCACGTCTGCAACAGGTCTCATCCGCTCAGCTGGGTTGCCGCTTTACTGCTTTGTTGCCTGTCCTGTTTGTCGAGGCGGTCAAGACATGACGCTCTTACCAGGAAAACACCAAAAAGGCCCAGACGAATGGAACCAAACTCGGCACTCGAAAAGCATAAACACAAACACAAAACTCCGTAGTACCACCGTCTGTCCCGGAGCGTGCCCTTTCTGCCCTTGCTGCCCTTGCGTCCTCCCCTCCTCTGGAACGCCCCTCCCCTAGACCTCCCCTCCTTCCTCTTTCCCGGGATGATCGACCCTCCATATCCTTCCCCTCGGACGTTCAATTCCTCTTTTGATACTAGCTGCGAACCTGCTAGCTGGGACAGACGACCCAAGCGGGACTCCAGCGGGACCCAGGCGGATGGGACCACGGACGAAATTATTTGAAATACGTCGTAAACGAAACGAAACCCGACTACTGTGGTAAAAACTCGGACGGGCTCGAGCAACTGTCTTATGATCGTCTTTTGCTGTTGCTCCTCTTACTATCTCTTACTCTCCTCTTGCTCTCCTCGTCTGGCGCCACATTGGGGCTCCATAAAATCGACTCCTCTTCTGCATGAAAAGCGACAGCACGCCAGACAACACGTCGACTAGCTTCCGGCCTATTTCCTCTTTTCCACTCGGGTCGTTTTGTTTTACAATATACACTTTTGTTCTCTAGTGCTCATCCTTCTTGGGCTTTTTTTGGTACTTGGGCGTGGGTCGGTCTGCGGACAATCCCTTGCTGCTGGGTCGCTCCTTCTGTGTTCCATTTCCTGGGTCAGTCCACGGACCCGACCTCTTGGTTCACTCCTTCCTTGTCTGTGTCTCCTTGTCATTCCCCCTATCTCGGGTCATTCTTTCCTTCTTTGCCGTTTCGTCAGTCCTGGGACCCCCCTCTTCCCCTACGTTTTTAAATACATTTGTCGTTCCCAAACCCTCGGGTCCGTCTTCTCCCTCCCTCTCACTTTAGACATCGTCTCTTTCTCCTGTTCTTCATTACTCTTCTTGGCCCTCTTCATCACGTAACCCTTCCGGGACAATGTTCCGTCATTGTACCGTTTTATAGCCGTTCATTGCCCGATCTTTGCCTGTTTCATTTATATACCAACAGACGCCAAACTGTCCATCACATACGTGCATCTCCAACAGCAGCCACCTACATATCCCCGAAGTCGTGCCTCACCCCGTTGCCATCAATTCACCTGCAAATGAAACGGCCTTTGTCTCTTTTGTGTTCAAGGTCACCATCTAGCTGCACTTCAAGCGTTGCAGCAACTGCCACCTTTTGACATACGTCTGTGGTGCCGACAATACACAACTCCCCTGTCGCCTAGAATGGGGTTCTTCTCACCACCATCCTCGAGCAGCAGTCGACACCGTAATCATGGCGGCGGCAGCAGCAGCCACCGGCACCGCTCCGGCGGCGGCCACCCTTCCTCCTCTTCGTCTCGGCACAGCGGCGGCACCAATGGCAGCAGCAGCAATCCTCGAAAGAAGGCGGCGACTGGTGGTGGTGGTTCGGCAGCAGACGGAGTCTCGGGCCCCGACCCCACCGGCATGTACACCGGGTACGACCCGACAACCGGCGCGTACTACTACGACTATACCGACGGTACCGATGCTAGCGGGTACTACGCCGCCGAGGGCAGCAACAGCAGCCACGGGTACTATGACCACTACGCCGGAGCCCACCCTTCCGCCACCACAACACCAGAAGAGGATGCGGCGGCAGCGGCGGCCGCCGCCGCCGCCTCGGCCGGCGAAGACTACTACACATCCTCCGTCACCAGCGCTGTGGCTGAACACGTCTACGAGGCCGGCCTGCAGTTCCACGGTTTTCAACGGTCACCGCCCACGTCGCCGGCCAACTCCAACGTGGTAGGTCCGTCCGGTGCGAGCAGCCAACGGGGCAGCAAACTGTACGCCCTGCCCAACGACGAGACGGAAAAGAACCGAGACGATATGAAGCACGGCATAGCACTGCTGTTGATGCAGAACCGGCTGTTTTACGCGCCCGTCGATGCCAAGCTCAAGTCCGGCGGCATGGTGTACGATTTGGGAACCGGTACAGGCATCTGGGCCATGGATGGTGAGTTTTTTTTTTTTTTTGTCCGCGTCTATTGTCTTCTCTTATCGTCCCTGCTCTCTAACAACACAAAACAGTCGCCGAACAGTTCCCCAGCACCGTTGTCCGCGGCATCGACCTCTCGCCCATCCAGCCTGCCTACATCCCGCCCAATGTCAGTTTTACCATTGACGACTTTGAAGATGAGTGGGTCTTGCCGCCCAACACGTTTGACCTGGTGCACATGCGCTTTTCCCTCTGGGCCGTCGACGACCGCGCCGCCCTGCTGCGCCGCGCCTTCCACCACCTCAAACCAGGCGGCTTCGTCGAGTTCCAGGATCTCGTCCCCCTCATGTGCTGCGACGACGGCACCCTGCCGCCGGCCCATGTCGCGCCCAACGCCCTGCGCGACTTTGCGCGGTACGTCGGCATGGGCCTGCGGACCTCCCAACGGCTGGCCGGTGGCGACCTGTTTGACGCGATCACGGCCGACCCGGGCGACCCGCACCGCATGGACATGATCCTGTCACAGGAGCTGGCGGCCGCCGGGTTCACGGGCATCCGCACGGTGCGGCACAAGTGCCCGCTCGGCGGCTGGCCAGAGCAGAAGGAGATGCGGCGGTGCGGCCTCTTGCTGCGGCAGGCTACGTTGGAAGGTCTCCGCGGGTGGTCGCACCGGCCTCTGGGCACGACGGCCGACGGGCTGGGGTGGACGCCGACGCAGATCGAGATCTTTTTGGTGGATGTCCGCAAGGCGATCATGGACAAATCGGTGCATGCATACTTTCCCATGCACATTACGTACGCACAGAAGCCAATGGTGTAGATGTAGGAGAGTGCGGAAGGAGACGATACGAGATATGCTTGCTACGATATAACGACTTTTAACGAAACATTGGTCATTTTGGTCTTTTTTTTCTTTTTTGTGGACGCACGGCTGCTTGGGCATTTCCGTCTGTTGGTCTTTTGGTCTTTTGGTCTTTTGGTCTTTTGGATCCGGCTTTGGATCCTGGTGCATGCATTTAACGATAAAATATTCACATACATTGTTGCATGGACACATACAGCTACATGATTTGATGCTTGGTCATATTCTTCCGTCCTAAATTATCTATCCTGCTGAAATGTGGCAAAACTATCCAGTCCTTTTGAGTTCATTTTATCCAGGGTCCTTATTTTCATTGCGATCTTTTCTTCCCCCAAACGTATCCATCAACGACCCTTTCTTTACTGCTTCAGCAAGTGGCTGTCTGCTGCACCGGCACTCTCTGGCCGCTGCCAGAAGCGCGGAAGCTTGCCCCAGCTGTGTGTGACGTAGTCGCGTTGCAGCACCGTCTCGGCTGCGGACGAGGCCGCATCGTCGCCGGCCTCTGCGTTGGTCGCCGTCAGCGCCCACGACGTCACGCCCAGCATCAGGCACGTCTCGAACATGAAGGCGCAGCTGCCCGCGCCCACTTTGGCCGGCTGCTGCGGCTGCGGCTCGTTGCGCGCCGCCTCGTAGCTGGGGCCGTCCGGACCGTGCCCGCTCATCGTGTTGTGCAGGCTGCCGCCGCCGGGCACGAACCCGCCGGTGCCCGCCTTCTTCGCGTCGTAGTTGCCCGCCAGCAGGCCCATGTACTCGCTCATGGTGTTGCGGTGGTACCAGGGCGGCCGGAACGTGTTTTCGCCGACGAGCCAGCGGGGCGGAAAAATGACAAAGTCGGCGACGGCGGTGCCCGCGTGCTCGGAGGGGGCGGTCAGGACGGTGAAGATGGACGGGTCCGGGTGGTCGAAGCTGATGGAGCCAATGACATTGAAGCGGCCCAGATCGTACTTGTACGGATAGTAGAAGCCCTGCCAGGCGACGACGTCAAAGGGCGAGTGCGGCTGCGTGGCGCGGTAGATGCGGCGGTTGACTTTGGCGCGGAGAACATACGCCGGTTCGGCGGCGTGTGCAGCCGCCGCCGCCGCCACCGGCTCGTCAAAGCACGCCACGGGAACTTGGAAATCACGCGCATTGGCCAGCCCGTTGGACCCAATGGGTCCCAGCTCCGGCAGCTGGAAGTGGCCCTGATACAGCTCCAGCGCGTACCCGCGGGCCATGCCGCCACCATTGTCGTCCTTGGCGATGTGGACCTGGAACCGCACGCCGCGCGGGATCACGCAGATTTCCAGTGGCCGGACCAGCAGCCAGCCCATCTCTGTGCGGATGTCCAAGACACCCGCCTGCGGCACAATCAGGAGATCGCCGTCGGCCGAGTAAAAGGCCGTGTGGCTGTCCATGGACTGGTTGGCCGCGTAGACAAAGATGCCCAGGCCCTGCTTGAGGGTCGGGTCGCCGGCGCCGGCGATTTGGCGGAGGCCACTAACAAAATCGGTCGGCTCGGTCGCGGGATCCGGCAACGGGAACGGATCCCACCGGAATTGGTCGGGCAGGTAGTGAAGGGCGTCTGTGTCCTTGTTGTCGTGCGTCAAGGCGTCGTCTTCGGGTTGGAAGGGGCTGAGCGAGCAGGCAGGCGTGATGCGGTAGAGCCATGACTGCCTGTTCTCGTGGCGAGGCGCCGTAAAGGCGGTGCCGGAGAGCTTTTCGGCGTAGAGGCCATAGGGTGGTTTCTGGGGAGAGTTCTGGCCGATCGGCAGGGCACCCGCGACAGCTTCGGTCCTAGGGTTCGGGGACGAGACGGGTCAGCATAAACGAAGAACTCCAACTGCTCTCCATCCCCCAGACAGAATACAACAAGCAACGAACTGGCACAGAAGACGTACTCGTGATACGAATCGAAGCCGTTCTGGTAACGGTACTTCTCTTTGACGCTGAAGTCAGTGACCGGCATGGCGGGCAATGCGAGCTGTTTGGGATGTCTCCAGTTCCAATTGATTATCCAAGAGTATGCGTGCGGAGTGTATGCTGATGCGGATGGGGATACGGATGCTCATGCGAGGTAATGAAGAAGACAGGTTCAAAACGGGGGTTAAATATTACGAGGAAAGACAAAAGACGAACAACATAAAGAAGACTGCCTCCTCTGCCTCCGAGACAATAAAGAGCGAAATAATAAAAAGGCAATAGCATCCCTTCTTTGTGGGTGGCCACCAACCGTTGACGTTGGAGAATGGCCCGGCTACCCCGTGGGGTGCCGTCCAACCGTCCACAGTTGCCTTGTTCAGACAAGTACGCGGTTGTCAAAGGGTGACTTGGTGATTAAAGTCGCATGGTGTTGGACGACCCTGTTAATGACGAAAAGAGGGACAACGGCCATGGCCTCTGCTCTCAGTATGGGATTCCGCCTGCCGCCACCGATGTTAGCCGAAGGAAGGCGATTCCGCGCTGTCGGCTTAACGCCACTGGCTGCATCCCTGTGCCGCCAGGTCACGAGATCTGACACGAATGGCAGCCACCACAACACTGGACACGTCCTTCAGCTCGACACAATGTAGAAAATCTCTGTATATCTCTTCCAATCTACATTAAATAGACCCGGACCATTCTTTTAGACCGTGTACGCGCCAGGAACGGCTGCAGCCTTGGTCCGAAGCCATGCGCGCACGCGGCCCCCAAAGCTGTTCCCCTGAGTACGTTTGGAGCTCTCCAACTTCGTCCCCTGTCGTACCTTGCATGAATGTCTGATACATCTCATGTCTACAGCATGTCTCCGCTCTCTGTGCAGCTCTACCATGTGCGAAGCATTCCAGCGTACCATTCTGCTGAGATGTGCGATGAGCGACCCAAATACGGGGCCTACAGTGTTACGACTTGTCACCATCATTTGGAGAGCCAGTACTTTTGTAGCAAGAGTCAATTGATCCGGCTACTTGCTAGTCCTCCTGGGCTAGTTCTCTTTTCTTTCAAAAAAGTCTCTACTTCCACAAGTGGTGATTTGCACAAGGACGCGAAAGACGCTGCCCGTGGACGGCTTGCCTCGCAGAGGCGCGCCGCTCAGGAGCTGGCTGCCTCTTTCTGGTCGGATTCAATGCCCTCCCCGAGAGGTAGAAGGCAGAAAATGAAGAATAGTACGGTATGTCCATAAAGGGCTGGGCGGTGTTTCCCGTGTGCCACCAAAAGGCATGCTAGAGGCAAGGCACACGGTGTCGACCGCGCCACCCGGACCCGGGGGGCCGAGGATTCATTACTCGTCCTTGTTCTTCTTCTTCTTACCCTGGCCGCCAGAGTGAGAAGCAGAAGACTCCCGCTGCAGGTGCACAATCAGGCGTGTCCAGGACTCCTCTTTGTCCCACTCAAAGCCCTTGAGGTACGGCAGGTCGAGCTCGTCGTCAACCTAATTTGTTAGCACCCGCCTGGTGGAACGACAAACAGGTTGCATTTGATGTCTAGATAGACTTACCCGCTTCTTGAATGCCTTGTGGATAGCATCCATGGCGTCCTTGATGGTGACGCCCTTCATGTTCCGCGCGGTCACTTCCAGGCCCAACGGGAATTGCAGGTCAATCTTCTTGACTGGTGGCGTGGTCAGGAGCTTTTTCAGGATATCCTTTTCGTCAATCGAGTTGGGTGACGTGTTGATCTTCCATCCCGTTTTTTGTGTCTCCGGGGCGATCTTGAGCTCAATGCCCTCGGCCTCTTGAGCATGGTTAGAGATGTTCTATGCAATAAGACGATAAGACTCTCTCGAAACATACCGAGATCATTAATGTTCCGTACTCCTGGGTACGATGTTGAGCCGGTCTTGCGGTGGCCCTTCTCCTTGGGAGGCGACGACGACAAACCCTGGACGGCAGAATCGACCTTTGACAATGGTTCCATGGTGGGGAGTTGGTGGTTGTGATGTCTTGTAGTGGGCTGAAAAGATGTACGTTTCCTCGAAATGGAGGAATAGTGGCAATGGATTGAAAGTGGTCTGACACCCCAAGAGCAGACATCGTTAGCGAACGGACAAGGCAATGAGTCGATGAGTTGAGTTTGGCAGCATGGCCGTAGCATCAAGCACAATATCACAGGCTCTATGAGCAATTACTCTCGGGCCACATAGCCAGTGATGGATGTGCAGTCGACGAATTTGAGCTTGAGGCTCAATGTGCGAGGCAAGGACCAAAATAGACTTACAAAGCGATTTGATAGATGCCGAGATCTTGCAGCAAGTGTGGGATGATGCGAGATGAGCGGGAGTGCTTGATTGTTGTGATGTGTGGTAATGGGAAGCTTCAAGTGAAGATGGTGAGAGGAGAGGAAGAGAGTAGAAGGACAAGAAAGAGGGGGAGGTAAGAGCTTAAAAAGGGGTTGAATGGTAGAAAAGGCAATCCGAGAGCGAGGTAGGGCCTCAGGTAGGAAAGAAAGAGGGGAAACTCAAAACAGATTGGTAACGGAGGGGAGGGGGGGTGTGCATGTATGCGCAGAAGCAGCTCAGGGAGAAGCAACCAAGGGGAAGGAGCGACTGGCGGGAAACTGGGCTGAATGTGAATGGCCGATTGATGTCGTAGGGTTGCGTGAGCAATAGGTAAGGAGGTGTGACTCGCGTGGTGGTGGTGGAAGGCACGCAATGATGTGTATCTTTCCTACGAGTATCGCCTTCCGCCCTGGGCACGGCACCCTCGCGCCAGGCAAGAGGGGGGCCCCCGTACGAGGGGAGGGATCATCGGCAGAGCAGCTCCAAAGTGGAAGCCGCGGCCCATTCTTGCCATTAGGCGAGACTTACGACATCATCGAGGCCGATGAAAAGAGACGGGCCAAACGGGCAAGAACGACAAAGGAAAAGGTCACGAGCTAGCATCGAACTGGGCCCACTGCTGTGCTGTGTAAGAGGGCGAGGAAGCTATCGAGACTTCGTTAGAGAGGGGAAGAGGAGAAATGGAAGGAGCAAACGAGGGCGAATGCGCAGAAGGCAGGGACGATCGATCACCTGCCACGGTGCCAGGCGACAATGTGGAATGCCCACGTATGTTGCTTTGAACAGGGTGCGCCGAGCCAATTCGTAGCTCCCAAGCTCGAACTACGAGTACTTTCCTCATTTGAGAAGAGGGGGAAACGAGCAGTCTTACGCCGCGCTCCAAGAATGGGCACTGCGCACCAAACCCCTCAAACAAAGCGAATGGGACACACCCCCAATACATGTCGCCAGTGAACAAAGCGAGTTGCCTGCAACACGTCTTGCAGTCTGGAACCCAAAGAACGCTGTGACGAGAGATGTTTTGGTTTGACTGCGTTTGTGCATCGCTCCTCCCTGCAGATGTGCATAACCGCCCGGCTGTGGTATCTCCCTCTTTCTGGATTTCGCCTGCCTCGATGACCTCACACGGAAGGCGCGGACTGGAGCAGAGGGGCAGGTGATGTGATTTCCCGTTTGGCGAGTGGGGAAGGTGCCATGCCCTTACGGCGTGCCAACAGCGGTTCCCCTTGTAGCTGTTTGTTGGTGCAGGACGTCGCGTCCCTTCCTGGAGGTGGTTGTATCGAACGCTGCCTCCCGCATTCTTTCACGGTTCCTCCAGGTCTTACCAGTCATCCACCTATGAATGGAAGGATACAAACAAGACTCCGAGTTGAAAGCCCAACAAAAGACGAACAGGAAAGGAAAATGGAAGCAAACAGGCAGCTCTGGCTGTGTCTCACCATCCCTTGGTTTGAATCGCGTGACCACCCAACGGTCGCGCGGGAACACAAGAGCGGGGATAATTAAATACGAAGCTCAGGAGGGCGTGGCAGGAGTGACATAATGGCCCGACCAGGGAAAACAATGTAAGAGTGAGATGATGAAAGAGGGGCTCCACTGAGGTGGCTGCACGTCGCTGCAGGAGAGAGCTTTTCCCTCTGTGAATCTACGAGTGGGTCAGAAGTGGGTCGTCGATTCGTACGAACGTCAATGGGCAGGAGCGAACTGTATTCCTCCGAGCGCTGGTTTGCCTGGAACCAAAGAGTTTGGCAGGCACCTACCAGAAGTACTAAGGAAGGGCATATATACGAAGTAAGTCCACTAAAGGGGAAGTCTCACTGGAGGAAAAAGGACCTTGGTGGGTGCGCTTTGCTTGGAAATGGCCTAGACATAACGGAAGAGTAATCGCCCAGGACGAGAGAAACAGCAGAGAGCAGCCGTCATCAGACAGCAATGGCCCACTTGTCGGCAGTGTCCAAACAGCTCCCTGGGCTGCTAACGCTCCAAGGGGTTTGGCGTCAAGTACGGGTCACGGGAACAAAGTGGGCGTGGCGGACGTGAGCCAGGTGGAAATCCTGGGGAAAAACTGGGGAAAGCGGGTCTGTTTTGTGCTTTCTGGTCTTTGGCTCTCGACCAGGGAAGGTGCGCACGAGGGCCTCTGCATCCGTTGGTGAGAAAACGAGCATGAGAATGTAGACGGTGAGATATGAGATAGAGCAATCTAAGGGGCTTTGAGTCTAAGCCGACTGTCGTTCACTCCAAGTCTACAGAACTGCCTATTTACGACGTAGTCTCGGAGAGTCTCACATTGGGACAAGTCAACTGGCAATACAGCGCCGGGCTCCGGTGTCGGATCACAGCCACCAAAGTGCACGACAATTCTCATTCTTTTTAACGTCGGCATTATACGACATACACGGCTCGTTAGTTAATACTCGTTCTAGGCTGCGAGGAGAGTAGCATTATTTGCTGTATTTTAATATTCATGTCTCGAAGTTTAATACAAAAAAAAGAAAGGAAAGAAAAAAAGAAAAAAAAGGAAAGGAAAGGAAAGGAAAAAGAAAGAGCTAAACAAAATACAAGTTAAATAAAAACCAAAAAAATCGGGGGAAAAAAATAGTGTATGATCGCTTGGGTTTACTCGCTTTCTCTTCATTTCAATTCCGCTTTGCTTTTTTTAAAATCGCTTTGGAGACGCAGCGTAGAGCCCACCGGATAAATTGATGTCATGTCGGACGGCGTAAAGAGAACACATAATTCAATACACCACACTCCTGCGACTCTTGCGCCTCTGGGAGAAACCAAACGGATATGTGTTTTCAAATGTTTCCACGTGTTTGTTCGGTATTCAACCGATTGATTTGTCCATTGTGTCTTTTACGTATGTACCGAGCATTTTGTCATTAATTATTACCTCCTTTTCTTTCTTTTTTTCATCATCTTCTTTTCTTCTCACTCGTTTCACTTCATGTCTCGCTGCGTCTGGCTGCGACAGTTTTCGTCACTTGTTGGACAGTAAAACAGGGAATGCTTGGGAGGAAAGAAATATGGAAACAGTCAAGGCCCTGTTTTGTCAAGGTTTATTGTTCCATTCTAACTACGCAGCCGTGCGACGCAATTCAATCTACGGCCCAAAGCCTTATGTCCTCTTTCCTTGCTGCCTCCTCCCCTTATCCACTTTGAGTTTCCTCTTATGGATTCCGTCTCCCATATTGCGCAATACCCATATTCCCATATTCCCATATGCCCATATGCCCATACTTCCTATTTTCTGTACATAATTCATCAACATCCATCTCACTCTTGATTGCTCCATCTGCGCTCTATCGCGCTTTTCGCCCCTCTTCTTTCATCACCATCCCGCCATGCCCCTTGCGGTCTTTTGCGGGCCTCGACGTGCCATTTTTGGCAAAGCAGACGACGGTAAGAGAGGGGCCTGTCCACAACCGTACATTCGAATCCACAGTGAAAGAAGCAAATTGTGTGCGAGAGAGTGAGCAAATAAGGATAAATAAACAGCGAAGGTCAACGATTTCGGACGAGGTCCAAAAGTAGGTGAGAACGAAGGAAAACCGAAGCGATAAAAAGTGGAAAGAAAGAGCGGTCGGTATGTGCGCGCGAGAAAAAGAGACGGTGAAGTGAAAAACGACAGTGAAAGATAAGTCATGAGAAAAAGGAAAGAATGACAAAAGAATAAAAGGTCGCAGCACCCCCCTGAGAATGAAGAGCGGCGGCGAGAAGAAAACGCCAGAAGAGAGTCTCTCAACGGCCCATTGACTGTCGTCAATCCTTCCGCGTTCGTTCATTTGCATTTTCTCTTTGTCGGCCGAGAGTTTATCTGATTGTTGTTCTTTTCTTGGATTCCATCTGTTGGTTCTCTGCTTCGTTCTGTACTGTTCCCTCCCTTTTCCTGTGTGCTTTGCTGTCCTTTCTTTGATCGCTTCTCATTGTCTGTTGCATTGCCGGCGGGCATCGTGACCTCACTTGCTCTTCCCTCGATATCATTGAGCGTTTATTGGTTGTTCCCTGTCTCTTCAGCTGTTCCTCTCGCACGATGCATCTGCCAGCCTGTTTCAACCTTTCTTCCTTATCCTCCTTTCCCTCCTCTTTCCGACCCTCACTTCCCTCGTTGCCATCCATACGATCGCTCACATCTCTGCCCTCGTTACCCTCACTACGCAGCCTCGACTCGCTCCGCCAGCATCCCAATATGCTCTCCATCGCTACCCTCTTTGACGACGAACAGCGCCTGCTCAACCGCGTGTGGATCGTCCTCCTCGGCCTCGAGGCCCTGCTGGTGCTCGTCGGCACTATTTCGGCCGTTGTTCGGGGTGTGGTGGCCTTCCGACGACGCCGGCCCGGCGGCCTACGCCGAGCCGGCAGCCACCATCACGGGCGACCACGACGAGTAACGATTGAGCTGCCGGCGACTGCGTTTCCGGATTACGACGACCGACACACGGATGTGGACGGCGACAGATATGACGAGAAGACGGGCATGGATACGTTCATGGGTGTGGATATGGATGTGCACGCCGAGCACGATATTTTCTATGCCGACGAACGATTTCACACGCCGACACGAGCACGAACACCGACGCACATGGTAAACTCGCCGTCACGAAACGTGTGAAACGAAGCACGAACAAAACGACATTGTGATGACATTACGAAACATGAAACTGCATTATGGATTATGAACAAAAGGAGATATGGGTGCTACGCCGCAAGCCGACCAGACTGGATCTACGCCACGTCCTAGTCATACAGATCGCTGCTGTCCTGGGTCGTCTTGGTCGAGTGCGGCGATGTCACGCGGATGCCATTCTCGAGCCGCTCCAGCGTCATGGCGTGGCCCTTGTGGGCGCACCAGGTTGTGACCATCTTGACGGCCGTCTTGATCTCGCGGCCGTTGAGGCTCCACGCGGCGAGCTCTTGCAGCTCCTCGTCCGTGATGGAGACTGCGGCGGTCGCCTCGGGGGCACTGGCGTCGCTGCCTTTCACGACCGCGAGGGAGCTCGGCCCGGGACGGGACGCTTCGCCTTCGCCTTCGCCTTGACCTGCAATGTCGTCGCTCTCCGCGCCCGCCATGGCCTTGGCAGCGGGCCGCTCCACACGCGCCAAAAACTTGCGCCACACCGACAGCCGCGCCTCGGGCGACAGCGGGCGGAACAGCAGGTGCAGACTGACACGGCTGCGGAAGGCCGTGTCGATGGTGTCGTACAGGTTGGTGGTCAGGAAGATGATGCCGCGGAAGTACTCGAGCTCGCGCAAGAAGATGGAGACGAGCTCGTTGCGGGCAATGTCCTGCGGGTGGCGCTCGGCCATGAAGACGTCGGCCTCGTCGAGCAGGATGACGGCGTCCCACTCGGTGGCCATTTCAAAGACTTTTTTGATGTTGGCGCCGAGCGTGGCGGCGCTGATGCCCAAGTCTTCGGCCTGGAGGTAGAACAAGGGCCGGTGCGTGCGGTCGGCCACGGCCTCGGCGGTCAAGGTTTTGCCGGTACCGGGCGGGCCGCTCAACAGGATGGTCAAACCGTCGCCTAGATAGTTAGAT